AGAGAGAGAGAGAGAGAGAGAGAGAGAGAGAGAGAGAAAGAATTTTTTTTTAATATTTATTTTTTAGTTATTGGCGGACACAACATCATCGTTTGTATGTGGTGCTGAGGATCGAACCCAGGCCGCACGCACGCCAGACGAGCATGCTACCGCTTGAGCCACATCCCCAGCCCCTGCCCTCCTTTTCTTACCTCATCAAAAAAGTAAAAAATATTGAAGCGTGAAAGATGGTTGATGTTGACCTGTACCATTTGTCAGAAAAAAGGAAAATAGGTCACAAAATTTGGAATTTTATTAACAATTACTTTTGGCTGCTTTGCTACTAGAATCCTGGCAAAGAATTGAGACCTAGTCTAAATCCCTGTGAGAATGAGAGCTTTTTCCATGAGATATGACAGCTCTCTCAATGTCCAGCCTCTGGTTGGGTACTTCCATGGATGGGGAGGAAATGTATTTTAAGACTGCAAGGCAACTCACTCCACAGCTGCCAGGTTTAAAACACTCTCCCTTATCAGTAAATAAGCTCCACTGATTCTCCTTTCTATTATTTCACTAATCCATTCCTTTCACTCCAGCTCTCTAGATACAGGCTCTGGGTTCTCCCATCTAGAGCTGCTTCCAGACTCCATTCCTACTTCCCATCTCCCTCCTCTTCAACTCAAGGTTCTAAATCATCCTTCTGGTCATGTTTGGAATGATACCAAAAACACTTATCACTTTTTCACCATCTGCCTCTCACTTGTCTTTCCAGTTTTACTTCTGGACAAGACCCCCATGAACCATATTTCTTATATATTTTATGCTGTCCTGTTGTGGTGCTGGGACTAGAATCCAGAGCCTTACACATGCTAGGCGAGTACTCCACCCTGTCATTCCAAAATGGGTTAACCTGTAGCTTGGTTAGTTGGTCTTCAGCCACCAACTTCTTTATCTTCCTAATTCTCCGACTTTCCTATGTCCAAGTTTTTTTTTTTTTTTAATTAGTTGTAGATGGACATAATACCTTTATTTTTTATTTTTACGTGGTTCGGGGAATCGAACCCAGTGCCTCACACATGCTAGGCAAACGCTGTACCACTGAGCCACAACTCCGGCCCCAAGGTTTTTTTTTTGAATCCAGAGTCTGGCACAAGTGAGGTAAGAGCTCTGCCGGTTACACCCCCAGCCCTGTCCAGGTGATTTTATCTAGTTAACAAAACTAAAGGTTGCAAGACATCCCTTGCTCTTTAGCTCACAATGAACATCTATTAATGAAACTCACTGATTACTTTTTTATCACTGTTATTTATCTGCTTTTGAATTATTGGCTGTAGGTCATACTTCCCAATGACTAACTGTTTCTTTGTCAGACTTATGTTTTTCAGTCTTTTAGTGTTTTCATTTTCCCTTCTGTTTCCACCAACAGCTCAACCAACTCCTAGGAACCCCTTAGTGTCCTAGCTGCTGCTTCCCAGGCAGGAATCTGAGGCTTTTATTACTTTTAGTAATAAAAGAATAAGAAAATTATCCTTGATCTTCAGTTCCTCCAAACCAGGTAGTCCAGCCCTTTTCCGATTGAAAGCTAGGTCTGGCCAAAAGGCAGGATATAAAATAGGAGGTTAGAGTTCAGCTTCCTGTCACACCACTGGCCTCCAACAGAAATTCTTCTTGCTGGCACTAAACAGACTTTCCAATCTCTCTCTTTAACAGATTGGGAATATCTCTGTCCTTGTTGTAAAGATTAAATGATCTGGAAACACAAGGAAGTACCTGCACAAGGGGTTCAAAACCATCTACTCTCAACCAAAGCTGTCTCTTGGCGAGGGCTCCCTGCCAAGTGACACTAGTGCCCTTTTCTCAGAACTCATTTTCCTAAAAGTTCAGCCATTGCCCCCCCCCCACCAAATCAGCCTAAGAACAGAAAGAGGGGCCCTTGCCAAGGCAGTTATTATCACTTTTGGCAATAGACATAGATTATTATTATTTTGGTACTGAGAATTGAATTCAGGGAGTTTTACCATTGAATTATAACCCCAGTCCTTTTTGAAACTGGGTCTTGCTGAAGCTTCTCTCAAGCCTTATGAGTTGCTGGGATTATAGAAGTATGCTACCATGCATGGCTAATTTTTTAAATCATCAGGTTCAGAAGGGGTCTATCACTCAGTCTGTGTTGGAGCCCCAAGCCTCTCAAACCCAACAGTTCAATGTGCTGGCATGAGACCATTTTTTGTGCCCAAATCAACAATCAACTTTGTCTTCCACCAAATCTAGATCTACCTTGAGATCAGCCACAGAGTGAGTCTCCTAGGATCACACTGATGTTTTCTGGACACCATTGGCCAGACTTGCCATTGTTTTCCATTATCAGTGACTCCCCCAACTCTATAGAGGTAGCAGCAGCAGGGACAGAACATTAGCCTCAGAATCTGGTTGGCAGCAGACAACTGTGAACACACGCCCTCAGGCTTTTCAAATATAGAAACTTAACTAAAACACTTTCCAACTCATCATGGACGCTGAACACTAGGGACATCTAGTGGCATGAAGTCATCACCAGCCACAATATCCTTAGACTTCCATGAAAGTCCTATGGAGTAAATGCCCTACAATGGGGCTCTCCCCTTTAAGAATGGAGATGCAAACTCATATATTATTTCCTTATGACAACATCATCCTAAAGAAATATTGTGGCTTGTAAAAACGGGGCACCCAGATGCAGGCACTATCAAAAAGCAGGTGAATATTGGGCTTTACTCCCCTTCCCTTAATTTTTTTTTCATCTTCATTTACTCTCTGAACCCATAACCCACTAAAGCCCAATTAAGGCATTGTTAAGGCATTGACCTTAAAAGTTTTTTTTGGTGATGCTGGGAATGGAACCCAGGGCCTCAGGAAATTGCTGTACCACTGAGCTACATCCCAAGCCCTTTTTAACATCTGATTAAATAAGCCAGTTCTCTAAGAATTATTTTAAATTAAGTTTGACAAACAGACTAGAATGTCTAAATAGGCTCCATGCAACCCTTTTTCCTCCTCTATTTTACTTCCTTCTAAAGGGAATAGAAGGCAGAGGTGCTGAGATACCTTATACCATGCAGACTAAGTTCATTTGTAAAGATTACTTTACTGTCCTAGAAAAATACACGTTGCAAATTTGAGGGCTACAACTTAACCATTTTAAAGGATTCCTGAGGGACAGGGGATAACCTTTGAATATTATACTCTGTGGTAATGTGTGGTAGAGGCATATTAAATATAGTGGGGTCAGGTGGATTTTTTAAAAATCCTTTTTTTTCCAGTTTTTTTTTTTTTTCTAAAAAAGGAAAAACAAATTGCCATCTGGCTTATTTTGTGTGTGCATGTATATATAGGAACAGGTTGGGTGAGGGGTTGTGTCATGCAAGGAAGCAAAAACAAGATGATAACTTCCTTCAACAGAGGAGCCTCAGTGTTGCAGGAAGAAAGCAGGGAGGGAGACTGCTGGAAAGGGTGTAGATGTAGGTGCTCCTGCTTGTGCCTGCTGAGAACCAGGAGCATGAGTGGTCGAAGGCAGAGAGCTTAGTGATCTCTCAAGAGTATTCCTATTTGAACACATCAGATGTCCTATGAAAGTAGACAGGTCTGTTTCAGAATATAAATGGTAGTGACTTCCTGTGCTCCTGAGGTGGGGTAAAATAATCCATGAACACATAATCCTTCTGGGCACAAATGTTTCTGGACTGGCCAGCAGAGGACACTAGGAACAGAGGTGAGGGCAGAGTTAGGGAGAAAAATGTTCCAGATATGGGGTATCTTCATGGGAACTTTGAGAAATGTCCCTTGTTCCACTATTCCTAGGTGATGGCACTGGTGAACTTCATCAGAGTCATTATGAGTGTCACTCTGCAGAGGCCAAGGATCAAGGGTCAGGAAACCATTCTAGGTTGAGAAGAAAGTGCATCTCAAGGCCAGTGAGTACTGCAAAATTATTTGTGCCTGGGCCAAAAAAAAGCAAACGTGGAAAGGCCATTTTTAGATTCCGATGGTCTGTAGAATCCGTCTCTCGTTGTCATTAAGGTGGCCTGAGAACATTATGTAGCACGGCTGTTGAGCAAACTGGCAAAGGAAGTCTGTGAGATATGCCTGGAGGGAAGAATAAGAGTGGTGTTACTGAGGGACCCCAGGATCACTCACCTACAGCAATGTAAGAACCACCACCAAGTGGGACAATGAGCGGCTGACTTTTTATATTCTTGGATCTAGTTTAGATACTGCCCAGGGACAAAATTCCATAGGGAACCAAAATATTTCCATGGCTATGATCTTATGTTTCACCCCAAGGACCTTCATAACATAGACTTAAGAAGCTGGATTATAATACTGGTATAAAAATACTTGTGAACTCTCCCAGTCTCCCCAAAGCCCTTGACCACTCAGCAAGATAGAACTCTCTCCCCAGAGGCTCCCAGGAAGAACTATGAATAGATCTGAGACCATATTTCTGCTTCCATGGATTAGGAAATTGTCACTTGCAAGACCTCTTCTCTGGACACCCTCACCTGCAGATCAATCTGATAGAGAGGATCCTTCAGGGCATCAGGGTCATCTTCCTCATCATCCTCGTAGTAATCCTCCTCTGTTAGACAGCCAACATAGGGCAGGTCAGGGCAGAGGCCCATGATCAGCCCTGGGTAGTGATGCACCACTGCACGGCTGAGGCAGGAGCCCAAGGAATATTCCTTGTAGGCCTGCCTCTCCCCTTTCCCGAGTACCCCATTCTTGGCACCAGTGTGCAAAGAAAAAGATATTTACCATGGCTGTTTTCTTCTCAAACTGCTTACCATATTTACTGGTAGCAAGAATGTCAGATAAAAGTTGGCCACCTAAACCATCCTCCTCTTCCTCATCTTCCTCCTCCTGGTCCTCCCACATATCATTGGAGTCATCTGCTGGGAAATGAAAAGAAGCTAAAGCACATTCATGCATTCTCCCTTCCCAAACCCAAACAGGTCATAAAAGAGGACCCTGAGAGTTCCTCTAAGGTGGCCTGCAGTCCCCAGTGGGAGAGAATCAAGGACGGACAAACCTTCCCAGTAAGTGTGAATGGAAGAACCAACTTCCAAGAAGTAAGGGTAAGACAGCTTGTCCCCTGGTTGCTCCCCATCCCCAACTTCAGAGATTTCACAAGGCAGACCTAAGAGTGTCAGCCACAGAGTAGCTCTAGCTCAATATATATTTTTTTCTTTCTAAACCAATGAGTCAATAAATCAAATTGACAATTTGTAACTTGATCTGCCAGGTAAAAGTCTCCTGGGAGTAAGGGCCTGGTGCACCTTGACTCCACTCTGCAGGAGTGGCCTGGCGTGCGGCATTGGCCTCCATGACGTTGGAGAGCTCGTTGATAATCAGCTTTAGGATCTTGACCAGCAAAGGAATATTTGTCCAGCGCTCTGGATCTGGGAAGGAAGGAAAAGGCTTCAAGTCAGACTGTTACTGGCTCACTTCTAGCAACGCCTCCATGCTCCCTATAGTGCCATTCAACACAGAGTTCACCAACACTCAACATCACTTTCTACCATCCCTAACTATATTGAGCCATCAAAGAATGACTTAAATAACTTTATTCTGCCTGGTGTTATAAAAGTTCTGAAGTTAGGAGAGATTAAGAGAGATTGAAGGAGAGAGTTTGTCAGTACTAAAGTTCTGAAGCCAAATAATTATACAGAGCACAGTACTAGAGTTCTTAGGACTTGCAAAATATCATGGTTATTATAAAGCTACATTTAAAGTAGTTCTACTTAAAAATCACTAGAGAAAACCTGGTAACAAAAACATGCTGAATATGTGTGTTGAAGTCCCAGAATGAACCTAGAAGTTGGGGATCTCTGGTAAATTACTATTTTTGTCAATTTTCAACAGAAAGGAACCATATATTCTAATCCATTGTTTGCCCATAGTTTTCTGCCTCCTCTTCTTTTTAATTTTTGGTATTAGAAATTAAACCCAGGGGTGCTTTACCACTGAGCCACATCCCCAGCACAGAGATAGGGTTTGGCTAAATTGCACAGGGCCTTGCTAAGCTGCTGAGGGTAACCTCGAACTTCTAATCTTTCTGCTCAGTCTCCTAAATCACACACATAGGCATGTACCACCACACCTGGATTGACTCTTCTTTATCAAACCCATCACTAGCAATTATGTGTGGTTTTTTTTTTTTTTTGGTAATTATGTGGACAGCATGCCTTTATTTATTCATTTATTTTTATGTGGTGCTGAGAATTGAACCCAGTGCCTCACATGTGCTAGGTAAGCACTCTGCCACTGAACTACAGCCCCAGCCACAATTATGTCTTAAAAATATAGATCACAGGTCAGCATGGTGGTGTACACCTATAAGCTCATGTTGAGGCAGGAGGATTGCAAGTTCAAGGCCAGCATGTGCAACTGGGTAAGAGCCTGTCTCAAAATAAAAAAGAGCTTGGTAGTAGAGTGCCCTTGGGTTAAATCCCCAGTATTATAAATAAAATAAATGAATAAAAAGTATTCTTAGCCTCTATGGAGAGGAAATCAGAGGGATGGCAGCATCACCCACTTTTGGCTGACTTAGAGCGGGTACGGATGCCCTCATCCATGCTGTAGATCTCTTCTCCCTTCACACGGATATCCTGTAGCCGTTTGTCATCTGCATTGATGCCATGCTGGAGCAGCTTACACAGTGCCACAGAGCTGACAAAGAAGAGTAAGAAAAGGTCAATCAACCACCTATCTAGAGTTCACTCTAAGGCGACCAGTCATTATAGCCTAAGACAATAAAAATTCTGTTCATAACTAATTAGGAGAGATAAAAGAGTTCAGCTAGAAATGGGATTAGAATTTATAAAATGGTCCAATGAGAGAACTGCTTTTCTTGAACAAAAACGGTGGGTAAGCATTGCAATGACTATCCGTGCTATATAGTCATTAGGGTAATGAGAACTAGTGGAATAAAAGTCCAGGCAAGAAAGTTGGCAAGCCAAGGTTAGAAGGCTTGGGTTATAAAGGAGAATAAGTTACTAGCAGTTCTTAGCTGGCTGAAGTCTGTGGCAGAGGAAGCTCTCTAGCCAGCAGACCTCAGAAAAATATTGTCTACCTGTGTTGACTGGGGGATTTCAAGATGGCAGCCATTCATATATGCAAGTTAACAAGACAGAGAAAAGGGAAAACAAGGGGTAATGGTAATCTGATATGTCAAACAAAAATCAATGGTGTAAGTCAGGGAAGGAAGAAATGTGAGTAGGAGAAGAATGCTCAAAGAAGATGAGGGTCTACCTGACTTTGCCTTCATACTGTCCATAGAACAGATGCTGTCGGCTTGTCCACTCAGCCATCACAAACTCTAGGGCAGGTTTTCCAGTAGGTCCTGGGAGACTACAGAGGAACTCCAAGAGAGGTTCCAGCTGAGTGTGCACCAGATGAGCGAATACCATGATCAGAGACTAGGATATAACAAGAAGGACATCTGCTTCAGAAAAACTGATTTCACAGAGATAGGAGATGGAATGGTCCATCAAGAAATAATCTATGTACTGCAGGGACCACCCACAAGGCAAGAGAACATGAAGATTTTCTTTTTCATGTTTCTTTGGCTATAAGAGACCTAATCTTACTTCTTTCTTGTTCTACAAGGATAGCAAGAGGGTAAAACAGTTCAGGGCCCACATAATAATTTGTAACTCCAGAGGATGGGAAAGACTAGTTCTCCACTGTCCTTACCTGCATGACACTGAGTGTCTCTGCCTGCTGCATCTTACTGAGGATGGCACGAAGAATCTGATCCAGATTTTCCCCGAGCTCCCGCCCTGCCTTGGAAATGAGGGTGGAGACAAGGCGGCCCACAAAGGCTGCAGTGAACTCTGAGGTGCGGGGGTCTAGGAGCTGGCTCACCACTTGCATCACATACCACAGTCCATTGTGGCCTTGTTCATCATGCCACTGGGCTACCTGCTCCAGCGTCACTGACACATAGGCCCGCAAGCACTCTCCACCATTCTGGGGAGATAGAAGTAACAAGCAAGATTAGCAACTAGGGAAGAGATGACAGAAGCCCTCAATTTGTATGAGCAAGTATTACTCTGAGGTCTATGCCTTATAACAGTCGTGAAACTACAGGGTTTGTGGTGGGCTCATTCCACTAGAGTTAGGAATTTACTGTTATAGATAAAAATTTTCCCTTTACCCATTCAGTTATCTAAAAATGCATTTTTCTTTTTCCTGTGGTCCCAGGGATTGTACCCAGGGGTGTTCTCCCATAAAGCTACATCCCAAGACCTTTTAATTTTTCATTTGAGACAGGGTCTTGTCTAAGTTGTTAAGGCTGTCCTTGAATTTGTCATCTTCCTGCCTTAGTCTTCCGAGTAGCTGGGATTACAGATGTGCAACGCTACTAAGACTCAAAATGCATCTTTTTGACCACAAAGGACAATGACCAAGCAAACTGAGTTTTAACTATTAAGATCTCCCCCTGGTACTGGAAAAATTATTTCTGAGATATACCAATAATTAGATGTCTTGAAAGTCTTCATAGAAATACAGACAGACCTTACATATAATCTCCAAGCTGATGAATATCCACTGGTAAATTCTATAATCTTTATAATCAACTTTAGTAGTAAAGACAAGAAAAAGTAACCAACTAACCCAAGAAATACAGAAGAATATTTAGGCTTTCCTCACCTCTCCAGAGGCCTACAATTTTGCTAACTTCATCAATAAAAGAAAATATTCAGAAAGACTTTCTTTTCTTGTTTTTGGTGGTACTGGAGATTGACCCTAGGGGCACTCTAGCAACTAAGCCACATCTCCAGACCTTTTTATTTTTTATTTTGAAACAGGGTCTTGCTAATTTGCTGAGGCTAACTTCAAACTTGTAATTCTCCTGCTTCAGTCTCTCAAGTCTCTGAGATTACAGGTGTATACCACCATACCCAGCTCAGATTTTCTCAATGGCCCCAGATTTAGATGTCTATAATCTCTTACATAGAAGTAATACCCAGATGCAGATGGCCAGAATGCCTGGTTTCTAAACTCTTTAGGGTTATCAACACATCCCAAAGTACAGTTTGTTAGTCTTTTGTAGCTTGAATCTTTTCTGCATCCTCTGGGTAAATATGAAATTGACAAACCTGTATTTTACTTTATTTTTTTTTTAGTTATAGATGGACACAATATCTTTGTTTGCTTATTTTTATGTGGTGCTGAGGATTGAACCCAATGTCTCACATGTGCGAGGCAAGTGCTTTGCCACTGAGCCACAACCCCAGCCCACAAACCTGTATTTTAAAAGCATGAAAGCATGTCAGATTTCTCAGCTTACTATAAGCCAATGGAAGGAAGCTACCGTTCTTCTAATCTCCATTTCTCAGATACCTGCATGGTGGCATTATCATCTGTGTGCAGGGTACACTGTGCTACAGCAGGAAAAGCTTGGCAGATGAGAAGCTGGGAAAGTGGAGGCTTTGTATTCCGAACTACTGTTGTCAGGATATCAATGGCTGTCTGAAGGGGAGAAGAGAGAAGAATGAGAATTGCCTCTAAGGTGGGAGGTACCCAATAATCAACTACTTACTGGGTGGATACAACAGAGCAACCCAGAGAAAACTCATTAATGAAACCAAATTTCAAAAAAAAAAAAAAAGCATCAGTAGACAGTACTCTCAGCCTCCTTATGATGGCTTATTACTTTATTAGATGTAGGAGGTGGGACACACAGCAGTGGGACTGCCAGGTGACATACTTAATGGTGCTGTGTAATGGTGGCACTCTAATCAATTAACCAAGAGTACCTCTGCAATAAGAGCCATTTTCTTAAAGCCTCAGATAATCACACACTGTCCTTAGAGACAGAGCAGACCAGTAAAATTACCCCATGAATCTTTGATGCTATTACTAGTTTTCTGTTAACTATGTGGGATCTGTGGATGGCACTTGCAGATCTCTCTTGTTCTCTTTCTCAAATACACAGGCCTTGTAGCTACTTACCGCACAGAGACCTGCAGGGATCTTGTCTGCTGGGGCCTGCATTATGCTGACCAGAGTGGGAATTAGCCGCATCTGCATTGGGCCCTGACAGGCTTCAATCTGAGACAGCTCCTTGAAGATGTCCTGAGCCAGTGAGGCGACGACAGGATCTAAAGTGGATAAGGCAATATGGAATCCCCCTGCCTGATGGTCTGCATCTGCTTCTGGCTTTAATGATGTCTATGTTTTGCCCTAATCTATGTTAACTTCTGCCCTGATTACATATCACATACCTGGGACCTAATGGGGACAGACAAATAATCTCAAAGAACAGGAGATGCTAAATCTCCAAGAGGCAGGGTATGCATGTTTTCATTAAGACAAGGATTAGTCATTAATAGCTACTCCTAAAACAAAATCTGGCTTTTTTCCTGGGGTAAATCTTAAAGGATTTTTTGTTCTTGTGAAACCTGGGCTGATTGTAAAAACAAATGCTTAAAAAAAAAAAAAAAAAGCCCCACTGATACTTAGTTAGGACGACATGAAAATTTTAAAAACAGCTCAGTGTCTTCCCCTCAGGTTCTCATGTACTGAGGAGAAAACAACACAAAGCTTTTTGAAAAAATGGAACATTTGTAGTTCAATCTACTTTACCTATAAGTAAAAATATTTCCCTCAACCTAGGCTGCAAAAATATACGTGGTGTATGTTAAAAATCACAACAGCATTATTTGTAATAGAAAAGAATTGGGAATAAGCTAACTGTCCATTAACAAAATGGGTGAAAAAATTATCATATAGCCATTTTGTGAAATTCTATGTGATGACTGAAAAGAATGAGATATATTCAAGCATGCAAAACGGAAAGCTCTTTGGGACATAGCTTTAAGTGAAAAAGCAAAACAAAGAATATGATTACTATGGTATCATATAAGTAATTCTTATGCCTGTATATTTTTCTGAGCATCAATATTAGAGCTCTCTATTTTAGTTGCACTAGGGACTGAACTTAGGGGCACTTTATCACTGAACTACATCCTTAGTTCTTTTTGTTTGACCTCACAGTTGGGATCCTCCTCTTGAGTCACTGAGATTACAGGTGTATGCCACTTCACCCATCAGGAGATTCCTCTTTAAAACAAAGTATCTTTAATACTTTTCAAATAATAAAGTATTAATATACATATCCACTATAAAAAGCTTAAAATGAAGAAAAGTATTAAAGAAAAGAAAAACCTATACTGCTATTTACCTAATCACCATTAACATTTTGAGACTTTTTTTCATATCCTTATTGGAAACAAAACTGAAATTTGAGGTCATATATTTTTTTTGGAAGGGGTACCAGGGATTGAACTCAGGGGCACTCAAGCACTGAGCCACATCCCTATTCCTGTTTTGTATTGTGTTAGAGACAAGGTCTCATTGAATTGCTTAGCATCTTGCTGCTGCTGAGGCTGGACCGAACTCACCATCCTCCCTTCTCAGGCTCCTAAGCTGCTGGGATTCCAGGTGTGTGCCACTGTGCCTGGCTTGGGGTCATATTTTATGAATTTTTTGGGGATGACTATCTTTTCACTTAATATAATGTAAACATTTTCTCATGGTTTTAAATCAGTATGATGCTTGATTTTAATGGTTTTATAGTATTTCATTTTATGGATATAATTAAACTTCTGTTATTTCCAGCATTTGACTAGGATAAAAAACGTGGTGAACAACTGTGTTCATAGGCTTCTGCATGTTTCTTTCTTCAGCATCTCCTTTTCTAAATTATAGTTCAGGCCTCTTATAGAAAACTTTCATTTATTTGTTCAACTTCCTACTCTGTTATCCAAGTTCTGAATTATGCCTCCTGCCTATGAGTCTTTTATTCACTATCTTTGTTCCCCCAGTTCTTATCAGAGGAGAGTAAACAATACAGGAATAGGTAGTCTTTTTTTCTTGGGTGTGTGTGTGTCAAATAATGAACCCAAGGGTGCTTAACTAATAAGCCACATCCCAATCCATTTTTCATTTAGAAACAGGGTCTAACTAAATTGCTTAGGGCCTCACTAAGTTGCTGGCTTTTAACTTGCAATTCTCCTGCATCAGCCTCGGGCCACTGGGGAAGTATTTTTAATGCTGCTCTATCTACAGCATAATTCTATTCTTTGCTAATTGAAAGCTTTGCTTACAATTCTTAAGACCATCAGACCCTAGGGAAACTTTACCTAGATTTACCAGCCACCACGATTTTTTTAGTGCCTCTCATCAATATATCATCCCTGATTGCGTACCATTACTGTACTTTAGGAAAATGGCGATGGTGAAGGGGCAGATTTTGCTTTCCATGCTTGCTGTGAATTCTGGGTCTACAGTACAAACGATGCATAGAGTCTCCATCACCAGGTTGAGGACCTCTGAGCTGAACTGGGCTGCTAGGTGAATTAAGCCATCGAGGATGCTGGGGAGGAAGGGCTGAAGCACGTGGGTACTCTCTGAGACTTTCAGTTGGTCACAATAACTAGAGAGAGATAGATAAGCAAGAATTACAAGCAAATTCCCCAATTACTGGTTTCTCCAATCTTCTTCTACAATTATATATATATAAATGTTATGGCATTTATATTATGGCATTATGTTAGGGTTATACATATATAAATTATATATATATGTGTTATGGCATATATATCTATACACACACACACACACACACATACAGCATTACAAGGCTACTTTTATAGTTAGGTAGGTTTTTACATCTCTGTGCTTATTACATAAATATCAGCACTATTATTTCCATGGTTGTTGACAATTTTTTTTTTTTTTGGTGATGGGGATTGAACTCAGGTCATCAACATACTAAATATAGTTGCATATTTATTTCTGCTTTGATCTTTGCTATTTCCTTTTTTTGGAGTAATGAAAAATTGAACTAGAAGTGGACTACCATTGAGCCACAACCTCAGCCTGTTTTATCTTTTGAGTTTGGGATCTCACTAAAATTCTCAGAGTGGCTTTGAACTTGTGATCCTCTTGTCTCAGCCTCTTCTCTTTTGTTTTGAAGTAAATCCAGCCAATCATTAAATCCAAATTGTTAACATATTAAGTTAAATGCTTTATGATTCCTTAAAATACTATCTTTTTAGATTATTTTTTTTTTTTTGGTTAGACACATACCTTTATTTTATTTATTTATTTTTATGTGGTGCTGCAGATCAAACCCAGGGCCTCGCGCATACTAGGCGAGTGCTCTACCGCTGAGCCACAACCCCAGCCCCTAGACTACTACTTTAATCACAATCCTAAGACTTGAATATACATTCCACTATATTCCAAATATAGTGTTTCTTAAAGTCTTTTTAAAATTTGTTTTAATTAGTTATACATGACAGCAGAATGCATTTTATTTCATTGTAAACAAACGAGGCACAACTTTTCTCTGGTTGCACACGATATGAAGTTGTACCATTTGTGCAAATATACATTTACCTAGGGTAATAATGTCCTTCTTATTCCATCATCTTTCCTACCCCACTCCCCACTCTCCCCTTTGCCCAATCAAAAGTTCCTCCATTTTTCCCATGCCCCCTCTCCACATTATGCATCAGTGTCCACTTATTGGCCTTTGTTTTTTTGGGATTGGCTTACTTTGCTTAATAGCTCCATCCATTACCTGCAAATGCCACAATTTTATTCTCTTTTAATGCTGAGTAATATTCCATTGTGTATATATAACACAGTTTTTTAATCTATTCATCTATTAGCTATTGTGAATTGAGCTGTTATAAACATTGATGTGGCTGTGTCACTATAGTGTGCTGATTTTAAGTCCTTTGGGTACAGACCAAGGAGTTGGATAGCTGGGTCAAACGGTGGTTCCATTCCGAGTTTTCTAAGTAATCTCCACACTGCTTTCCAGAGTGGGTGTGCCATCAGCAATGAGTGTACCTTTTTCTCCACATCCTTGCCAACACCTATTGTTGCTTATATTCTTGATAATTGCGATTCTGACTGGAGTGGGATGAAATTGTAGAGTAGTTTTCATTTGCATTTCTCTAATTACTAGAGACGTTGAACATTTTTTCATACATTTGTTGATTGATTATATATCTTCTTCTGAGAAGTGTCTGTTCAGTTCCTTAGCCCATTTGTTAATTGGGTTATTTGTTTATTATCTCTTGGGTGTTTTTTGAGTTCTTTATAATATCCTTGAAATTACCGCTCTATCTGATGTGCATGTAGTAAAGATGTTCTCCCACTCTGTGGGCTCTCTCTTCACGTTACCAATCATTTCCTTTGCTGAGAAATAGTTTTTTAGTTTGAATCCATCCTATTTATAAATTCTTAATTTTACTTCTTGTGTTTTAGGAGTCTGTTAAGGAACTCATGTCCTAAAATAATGAAGATTTGGGTCTACTTATTATTCTATCAGTCACAGGGTCTCTGTTCACTAGAGGTTTAGTTTCATTTTTCTACATGTGGATTTCCAGTTTTCCTAGCACCATTTATTGAACAGGCAATCTTTTCACCAATGCATGTTTTTGGTGCCTTTGTCTAGTATAAGATAACTGTATTTATGTGGGTTTATCTCTGTCTTCTATTCTGTACCATTGGTCGACATGTCTATTCTGGCGCCACTACCATGCTGTTTTTGTTACTATAGCTTTGTAGTATAGTTGAAGGTCTGGTATTGTGATGTCTCCTGCTTTACTCTTCTTGCTTTGGCTATTCTGGGTCTCTTCTTTTTCCAAATGATTTTCCGAATTGCTTTTTCTATTTCTATGACGAATATAGTTGGGATTTTAATTGGAATTGCATTAAATCTGTACAACCTTTTGGTAGTATGGCCATTTTGACAATGTTAATTCTTCCTATCCAAGATCATGAGAGATCATGCTGTCAGCACAAATAGTGATAGTTTCAGTTCTTTTCCTATTCATATCCCTTTAATTTCCTTCGTCTAATTGCTCTGGCTAGAGTTTCAAGGACTATGTTGAACAGGAGTGATGAAAGAGGGCATCCTTGTATTATTCCAGTTCTTAGAGGAAATGCCTCCAATTTTCCTACATTTAGATGTTGGCTTTGGGCTTAGCAATAGATAGCTTTTACAATGTTGAGGTATATTCCTATTATCCCTAGTTTTTCTAGTGTTTTGAACATGAAAGGGTGTTGTATTTTGTCAAATGCTTTTTTTTGCATCTACCAAGATGAGATGATCATATGATTTTTATCTTTAAGTCTACTACTGTGATGAATTATGTTTATTGATTTCTGTGTGTTAAACCAACCTTGCATCCCTGGAATGAACCCCACTTGATCATGGTGAACTATCTTTTTAATATGTTTTTGTAAGTGATTTACCAGAATTTTATTGAGAATTTTTACATCTATGTTCAGGGATATTGTTCTGAAGTTTTCTTTCCTTGATGCCTCTTCATCTGGATGATACTAGCCTCATAGAATGAGTTTGGAAGGGTTCCTTTTCTATTTCATGAAATAATTTGAGGAGTATTGGTATTAATTCTTATTTGAAGGTCTTGTAGAATTTGTCTCAGAATCTATCTGGTCCTGGGCTTTTCTTGTTTAGTAGGCTTTTGATGGCTTCTTCTATTTCATTGCTCAAAATTGATCTGTTTAAATTATGTATGTCCCCTGATTCAGTTTGAGCAGATCATGTTTCTAGAAACTTGTTGGTGTCATTGAGATTTTCTACTTTATTGGAGTATAAACTTTCAAAAATTTATACTCCAATAAAGTAGTTTCTAATTATCTTATGTATTTCAATAGTATCTGTCATGATATATCCTTTTTCATCACAAATTTTAGTAACTTGAGTCTTCTCTCTCCTTTTTGTTAGGGTGGCTAAGGGTTTATTGATTTTATTTATTTTTCTAAAGAACCAGCTTTCTGTTCTGTCAATTTAAAAAAAAACATTAATTTTTTCGTTGTAGTTGGACACATTACCTTTATTTCACTTATTTATTTTTAAGTGCTGTTGAGGATCGAAACCAGGGTCTCTCACTTTATGTGGTGCTGAGGCGAGTGCTCTACCACTGAGCCACAACTCCAGCCCTGTTTTGTCAATTTTTTCAATTGTTTCAATTTCCTTAATTGCAACTTCGATTTTAATTATTTTCTGTCTTCTACTCCTTTTGGTGTTGATTATTTTCTAGGGCTTTGAGGTGTAATGTCGGGTCATTTATTTGTTGACTTTTTATTCTTTTTAATGAATGAGCTCAATGCAATGAACTTTCCTTAGCACTGCTTTCATAGTGTCCCAGAGATTTGAGTATGCTGTATTGGAGTTCTCATTTACCTCTAGGAATTTTTTTTTATCTCCTCCTTGATTCTTCTGCTATCCATGAGTCATTCGATAGAGTATTATTTAGTCTCCAGATGCTAGAGTAGCTTCTGTTTTTTACTTTATCATTGATTTCTAATTTCATTTCATTATGGTCTGACAGAATGCAGGGTAGTATCTCTCTCTCTCTCTTTTTTTGTATTTGCTAAGAGTTGCTTTGTGGCATAAGATATGGTTTATTTTAGAGAAGGATCCATGTGCTATTGAGAAAAAAGTATATTCACTCATTGATGGATGGGATATTCTGTCTATGCCTGTTAAGTTTAAATTATTGATTATATTATTAAGTTCTATAGTTTGTTTAGTTTTGTTTGAAAGATCTATCCAGAGGCGAAAAAAGTATGTTAAAGTCACCCACGGGGGGGGGGCTGGGGTTGTGGCTCAGTGGTGTAGCCCTTGCCTAGCACATGTGAGACACGGGGGTCAATCCTCAGCACCACATAAATAAACAAACAAACAAATGAAGGTATTGTGTCCATCTGCAATTAAAAAATACTTAAAAACAAAGCTACCCAGGATTATTGTGCTGTGGTCTATTTGATTCTTGAAATTTAGAAGGGTTTATTTGATATATACAGATGCTTCATTGTTTCAGGCATAAATATTTACAGCTGTTATGTCTCGTTTATGTATGATTCCCTAAGTACTATGAAATGTCCTTCTTTATTCCTTCTAACTTTGGTTTGAAGTCCACTTTATCTGAGGATGGAAACTCCTGTTTCTTTACGTTGTCCATATGAGTGGTATTTTTTCCCCATCCTTTCACCTTCAGTCTGTGGATGTCTTTTCCTCTGAGTATCTTGAAGGCAGCATATTGTTGGGTCTTTTTTATTTTTATTTTTTAAATCCAATTTGCCAGTCTATAAATTTTAATTGATGAGTTTAGGCCATTAACATTCAGGGTTATTATTGAAATATGGCTTATATTCCTGGTCATTTTGTTTTGTTTTTTTACCTGACTTGGTTTCACCTTTGATTGGCTTTTCCTTTAGTGTATTTCTTCCCTTTGCTTATCTTCATTGTTGTTTTTCATTTCCTCCTCATAGAATATTTTGCTGAGAATATTCCATAGTGCAGGCTTTCTAGTTGTAAATTCTTTTAACTTTTGCTTATCATGGAAGGTTTTTATTCCATCATCAAATCTGAAGCTTAATTTTGCT